AAACTTGTGATCGGATAGGGAATTGGATCCGAGGGCTGCCCTTCCTGGCGGTTTCGCGTTGTTTCCCCATCCTGGCCATGGATCTAAATTCTGGATTTGGGCTTCAGAGGCTACACGGCAGCGAAGACTGGACTGCAGTGAAAGATAATCGTCTCGGATCGACAGTAGAACCCGTTCGGCAACGCTATGCGGCTGATGTAATGCTAGAGATTCTCAAGGATTTGGATTTTGTCCCCGTCAATCTTCACTTAGGAGCTGGGCCCACATATTATAGCCCATCAGGTAGCACTTCTATGCTCGACTATGTGTTTATTCCCAGATGTTCCCTGGACCAGGTGACATCAGCAGGTCCGCTCCGACGGCTCGCTCGAAAGCTTCAACTCATCCGCCACAAAGATCATCGAGATCACATTCCCCTCCACCTCAGGTTCTCGTATGACTTGGCCTCTACTACAGGTGCAGAGGCTACGGGACTCCAGGCAGACGAGAGAGTGGGATTTGTACCTAGGCATGTCCGCTGGAACAAAGAGGCGTTGATGGATTGTCTGCGCATGGGCACTCAAAGAGCCGAGTTTCTGCAGGCACTGGAGGCGAAGATGATCGAGGAGCAGGAGGAGTGGCAGAGAAGGAGGAGGGAGGAGCAAACGCCCAATGCAGAATGGGGGATCTTCATCAGGGTGCTCAGGGATACGGCAGAGAAATTCTTCGCAGGCACAGTTCAGAGGTCTCCAGATTACCCTCAGCAAGCGCAGCACATCTTGGAACTGCTCCGACAACGTCGTAGGCTTCGATTGGAGATCACTACTGATATTTCTTCTGAGGCCGTCCTCTCGATTGCAGAGGAGATCCGCACCAAGTCTAGGCAGCTCAGATCTCTTCGTCGGCAGTATTTACACCAGTGGAGACAGGACGTCACAGATGACCTCCACGAAGCACTTAGGGTAGGCAGGCAGGCGGAGGTCGCCAGGCTTTCGCGACTGCTCTCGGCTCGTGGGACGGGACCGAAAAAAAGGAACTACAGGCGCCCTCCCTCTGCCCTGCCTACCAGTCAGGAGCTGCAAGATAGATGGGCACTTCCGTCCGCTCAGGGAGGAATGCAGGCTGAACCAATTGACTGGGTTACCTATGCCAATGACTACCTCTATCACCCCACCGACGGGCAGGAAGCCAGTCTTTTTCTTGGGCAATACACTGAGGAGGGCCTTGAGTGGGCCAAGAAAAAGTTGCAGCAGATTCGCAAGTATTTGCAGAAGTCTGGGCGTCGAAGAGCTGTTCCAGAATGGTCGGTCCCCATGGAAATTTTTTGGACGATCTTCTTCCCATACAAGCGCACGTCCAAACGGTTCCGAGGGGTAGGGTACGAGGCCCCCAACATCGAGCTCAAGGTTGTACGAGGTTTTCTGGTTTCACTCATGCATAAGATTCGACGTTCTCGGCAGGTCCCACTGGTTTGGCACCTCTCGCAAGCTGCTGCACTCTCTTGGAAGCGCGTGGTGCACGTGCTCTGTCCATTTGGCAAGGCATTCACCGCCACGTGTATCGACCCAGATCAGAAAGATGAAGAGCCCCTCTCCTCGCATGGATGTATCGCTCGTCGTCGTCGAGAGACCCCTCTACTCGCCCAGCAAGCTCTTGGATGGAGGTTACGGCAGCTAGGACTTGAGTTTGTGAACGACCATAAGGATATCAGCAACGCCTTTGGGTCCAGCAGCTGGGATGCCCTAGAAAAAGCCAACAAGGAGGTCATGAGGGAGGGGGAGCACTACTATGGGGAGCAGAGGTTCAAGTTTTCGGCAGTCTGTTTTCGTGGAGTTGATGGGTATCGATTTGCCAAACCGTGGGTAGGTGCGCTACAAGGAGACCCCTGGGCCGTCAAGGTTTTTGTTCGGGACATCGGAGACTGCTTTGAGGAGGCGCAAGCTGAATACCTCGAGTCGGGGGAGCCCACGGCAGACTGGTGTACGATCGAGCTTCACCCAGAGGGACAAGAGGTACTAGAGATTGACCTGTCTCTTCATAGTTATGTAGATGATGCGCTGCGCAAGCTGGTTGCGCACCCGTCGGAGAATGGGGCCGTCTCTCTCAGTCGCCAATCTCTCTTGTATGATGCTATTCTGGCAAATTGTCTGGCTCGTCGCAATTACCGCCTCAACCCCACCAAGAACGAAAGCGTTATCTCCTTCCAGGGACCTGGACAACAAGCCCGCAAAGCTAGTATAAAGTCTGGAGGCCTACCTATGGCGGGGGTACCTAATGATGTGGCTAATTACCTCGGTTCGCTCGTTCGGTATGACAGTAAATTCAGCAGTGAACTCGAAGCTCGACTCTCGGCGGTCTCTGCAGGATATTGGTCTATGGGGCGGTACTGGTACCAGCCACGCATCCCTTATGTAGAGAAGAGGGCCATGTTTTTGAGCCGAGTAGTTGGACCAGCAGTCTCAGCGCTTGAAGCATTCCTTCCTTCTGCTGCTCAGCTAGCTAGAATACAGAATCGAGTTGTGGATTGTGGCAGACGAGCTCTTCGAGGTGCTGCTACTGAGTGGCACAACGGACACCGCAGGTCGATCACATCCCAACGTGTGCTGCAGCTCTGGAGAGTAGCCCCATTAGAAGTTGAGCTCCGAGTCCGTCGTCTAAAGTGGTATCAGAAATGGATACGTGAACCCCACTATCATGCCGCTGACTGGGGGGCTCTATTCTTTGCCATCAAGGTTGAACGCGAGCGAGGTATCCAGATCATTGATGAACAAGGGCACCTCACAGGACATGCGTCACCATGGGCTCACCGATTTGTCGAGGACGTACAGAGTCTGAGTCAGCTGGGGGGGGAACATGCTGAAAAAATCGAGCACTGGGACCGTCGCCCCCTTCAGCTATTCGATGACCCTGAACTATCGAACTGGTTCGGAAGAATCGACATCGCCGAGCTGAGAGCGGCCACATACACAGTGTGTGTTCCCCCCCCTGGATACCAGGCCAGGCCAGATCCCCAAGAACCTGATCTCCCAGAACACCGAGATGGTGATGATTATCGATGCTGTATTAGTGGTTGTGGTAAAAGTTTTGGTACTAGAAGACAGCTTACTAGCCATCTACATCAACATCATGGGTTACTAAATATTCTGGGATTGCTCACTATTGATAATCAGTGTTTTATTTGTGGGCAGATTTTCGAGTCCAGAAACTCAGCGTATAAACACACCAAGGACTCGTTCAGGACGGGGATTTGCATCCAGGGCAGATCGAACACGTTCAGGACCGCAGGCCAAGATGACCATGCCAATTACATATGTCCGCTCTGTCCCACATATCGGCTCGATCGAGTTTGTCTTCATCAACATTTTCGTGAGCACTTCACTGTTCTTCCTATCATATACGACGTGCGAGATGCCAGAAGGGGCAGCAGCAGCGGCGGCGGCCAGCAGCGAGGAGTGGAAGCCCAAGGCTCCCAGTTGGGGGCTTCCAGCAGTCAGCAAACCCAAAGCACGACCAGCAGAAGGGGAAGCAGCTGGAGAGCGAGGACCCAAGAGCCCGCGGCGCCTCAAGCAGCTCAAGCAAGCCACGGAAGACACGATGCAGCGCCATTCCCTCGGACCACTCAAAGCACTGGTAAAAGTTCTCACCAAGTTGTGTCTCAACAACAGCAGGGACATGGCCGACCTCATTGGCGCTTGCTACAGCTGTTTCATTCTCGCCGCCGCTCATCCACTGGTGCTGGCAGTTCTCGCAGCAGGGAAGCAGTACTACGAGAGCTGCAAGGAGGCTGGACGCGACCACACATACGGCCCACCATGGACGCACATGTGGCTGGCGCTGTTGACGGCGCTGCTCGAGCACCCAGAGACCCCCGAGACGTCCAAGAAGGCCTTGAAGGTCTACTGGGAGGCCAACATCGCAGGAGACAGGAGCTCGCTTCACCAGCTGCAGGACCAGATACGGTATTGCAGAATGCGGCCCACATACTACAACAAGCGCAAGCAGGAGAAGCCGACACACTACAAGCTCCAGTTCATGCTGAGCTCACAGCTGCAGAGCAGCCAAATCTACTTCGACACGACGCCCGTGGGCACAGTGCACCAGGCAGTGTGCGAGGCCCTCTTCAAGATCGGCGGCAAGTACAAACCAGGGGGTCCTCCCAAGGGCGGCCTCGAGAGGGAGGCGCTCAAGCTCCTCGGCAGGATGGGCATGAACAAAGCGGACGACGAGGACATGAGCGACGACGAAGAGCTGGAGGGCTAGATGCCAGGCTCACGCACATCGCAGGATCTGAGCGTATGCTCAGCATGGCGCATCGTGGGCAGCTTCAGGATGCCGGACTGAGGGCACTGCAGGCTCGCTCGAGCCACCCCATCCTTCAGTATACCTCCCCCTCTGGCAGCACCTTCATGGCCTTTTATGCCCCTCCTCTCCAATTTCAGATTTCTTTAGAAGATATCACGACTCGTGCTGCTAGCCTTCGAGCCATGCCGCTAAGCGGCTCGACGGCTACTGTTGTTTCTGCAGGTGATCGTGCCCAGGATAGACTCATCAGTACAGCGTGGCAGCATGGTGGCGATGATGATAGGATCTCCAACTCCCAGTCATGAGGTGGACTGTGGGGGACCTTCGGGTGTGGAGTTCATTTTCCTATCTGAGCCCCTCGGTGCCTCTCATTCCATACACATACATATTGATTGCGTTGCTTCACTCACTCTTTGAGGGGTTTACTCGTCGCCTCTCAGTGCTTTGCAGGACAGATGGTGCCTCGGCGGGGCCCCAAGGTTTCCCCATCAGGGGTCCCCGCATGTGGCCAGTGGAATCCCCCTGCAGAGCGACCGACTACCGATGTCGACAGACAGCGGACGCAGATCCTCTTGCAGTACAAGGCCGCTCTTCTTTTTTTTGCACTGTGTAGAGAGGTCACAAGCACATGGGTCGCAAGCGTGTCTTATCTTATCCTGGTTCGAGGGGGCCTCATCCTCGCACGATTTCGGAGGCCCAGATCAGTCCGGGTCCTTGACCTTGAGTGCGACCCCGACCGAGCCGGGCAGGGCCTTGACCAGCGTCCGCGCCTGGCGTGCTCGGGTTGGGCAAGGCGGCAGGCCATTTCCTCGGAGCAGAGTCCTCCTCCTCCCTGCTCCATCCTGCCTCCATCCTCCTTCCATCCTCCCTCCTCCTTCCTCTTCCATCCTCGTCCTTCTCCCTCCTCCTCATGCTCCTCCTCCTCCTCCTCCTCCATCTGGCTCACTCATCCTTTTCCTCCTCCTCCACCCCCCTCCTCTTCCTTCCTTTTTTCTTCCGCCTGGAGCGTACTCCTCTTTCCTTCCCGCCTCCCTCCTCCTCCTCCTCGTCCTCTTCCTCTTCTCCTCTTCCTTCTCATCCTCCTCCTACGTGTTTCAACGGAGGCGCGCAGCATCCAGGAAAACTTACCTATGAGGGTGGCCGCTTGAAAATCTATTGCCCAACCCTCCTGTGCTGGGTTCTCGTTTCTTTTTGACTAGAACAGTGCGGTCGCGCGCCTTCTCACCCCCCCCTCCTCCTTCTGCCCCTTCCTGCCTCCTGCGCTGCTCTTTGCGTGGCTGCGAACTGTGGAACTGCCGCCACTGTCGTGGGCTCCTGGGAGGCACGGCAGAGTTGGGGAGTAAACGGATCGCTTGAGACCTCGCTGCTCCCTGGGTGGCTGCGAACTGTGCCATTGTCGCCACTTTCGTGGGCTCCTGGGGGGCACGGCGGAGTCGGGGAGTAAACAACTCAGTTGAGACTTTGCAGCTCCCTGGGTGGCTGCGAATTGTGCAGCTGTCGCCACTTCCGTGGGCTCCTGGGAGGCACGGCGGTGTCGGGGAGTAAACAACTCAGTTGAGACCTTGCAGCTCCCTGGGTGGCTGCGAATTGTGCAACTGTCGCCACTTTCGAGGGCTCCTGGGAGGCACGGCAGAGTTGGGGAGTAAACGGATCGCTTGAGACCTCGCTGCTCCCTGGGTGGCTGCGAACTGTGCCATTGTCGCCACTTTCGTGGGCTCCTGGGAGGCACGGCGGAGTCGGGGAGTAAACAGGCCCATAATAGACCTCGCAGCTCCCTGGGTGGCTGCGAACCGTGCCATTGTCGCCACTTTCATGGGCTCCTGGGAAGAACGGCGGAGTCGGGGAGTAAACAACGCAGTTGAGACCTTGCAGCTCCCTGGGTGGCTGCGAATTGTGCAACCGTCGCCACTTTCGTGGGCTCCTGGGATGCACGGCGGAGTCGGGGAGTAAATGGATCCCCCGCTGCTCCCTGTGGGGGCTGCGAGCTGCACAACTGTCGCCACTTTCGTGGACTCCAAGGAGGCACGGCGGAGGAAGGGAGTACACGCGCCCAACCGAGACCTGGCAACTCCTAGGGTAGCTGCGAACTGCGCAAGTGTCACCGCTTTCGTGGGCTGCTGGGCGGTCAAGCGGAGTCGGGGGCCACGCGCACCCAGACGAGACCTCGCTGCTCCTTGGTTGACTGCGAAATGCGCAACTGACACCACGCTCGTGGGCTCCTGGGCGGTCCAACGGAATCGGGGGCCACCCATTTGAGACCTCGCTGTTCCTAGGGGGCTGCGAGCTGTGCAACTGTCGCCACTTTCGTGGTCAACTGGCAGGTCCAATGGAGTCGGGGGCCATGCGCACCCATTTGAGACCTCGCTGCTCCTTGAAAAGCGGCGGATTGCGCAATTGGCACCACTTTCGCGGGCTCTTGGGAGGTCCAACGGAGTCGGGGACCACGCGGATCCAACCGAGACCCCGCTGAAATGCGCAATACCGCCATGGTCGTAAGCTCGTGGGAGGCACAGCGGAGGCGAGGACAGCCCTGATCGTGCATATCTGGCGATGAGTTCTTCCGTATGGCGCGTTCGGGCAAATATTCGCCTCGCATGAAGAAGGGGTCGGGTACGCCTCGGGTAAGTTCTAACCCTCCTGCGGTCGCACACCTCCTTCTTCTTATTCTTCCGCTCCTCCTCCTCCTCCTCCTTCTTCTTCTTCTTCTTCTTCTTCTTCTTCTTCTTCATCTTTTTCTCGGCCTCCTACTGCGCTGCTTCCTGGCTACTTTCGTTGACTCCTGGGAGGCACGGCGGGGTAGGGGAGTACACGAACTCAGACTAGACCTCGCAGCTCCGTCGGGGGCTGCGAACTGCGAATTTGCTGCCACTTTCATATGCTCCTGGGAGGCACGGCGGAGTCGGGGAGTAACTGGACCCAGACTAGACCTCGCAGCTCCCTGGGGGGGACTTCGAACTGGCAGCTGCCGCTCCTTTCGTGGGCTCCTGGGGGACACGGCGAAGGAGGGAAGCAAACGGACCCAGACAAGATCTCGCTGCTCCCTGGGGGAGTGCGAACTGTGCAACTGTCGCCACTGTCGTAAGCTCGTGGGAAGGACGGCGGAATAGCGGAGTAAACGGACACATAATAGACCCTGCAGCTCCCTGGGTGGCTGCGAATTGTGCAACTGTCGCCACTTTCGTGGGCTCCTGGGAGGCACGGCGGAGTCGGGGAGTAAATGGACCCCCGCTGCTCCCTGTGGGGACTGCGAGCTGCACAACTGTCGCCACTTTCGTGGACTCCAAGGAGGCACGGCGGAGGAAGGGAGTACACGCGCCCAGCCGAGACCTGGCAACTCCTAGGGTAGCTGCGAACTGCGCAAGTGTCACCGCTTTCGTGGGCTGCTGGGCGGTCCAGCGGAGTCGGGGGCCACGCGCACCCAGACGAGACCTCGCTGCTCCTTGGTTGACTGCGAAATGCGCAACTGACACCACGTTCGTGGGCTCCTGGGCGGTCCAACGGAGTCGGGGGCCACCCATTTGAGACCTCGCTGATCCTAGGGGGCTGCGAGCTGTGCAACTGTCGCCACTTTCGTGGTCAACTGGCAAGTCCAATGGAGTCGGGGGCCATGCGCACCCAATTGAGACCTCGCTGCTCCTTGAAAAGCGGCGGATTGCGCAATTGGCACCACTTTCGCGGGCTCTTGGGAGGTCCAACGGAGTCGGGGACCACGCGGATCCAGCCGAGACCTCGCTGAAATGTACAATACTGCCATGGTCGTAAGCTCGTGGGGGGCACAGCGGAGGCGAGGGCAGCCCTGATCGTGCATATCTGGCGATGTGTTCTTTCGTATGGGGCGTTCGGGCAAATATTCGCCGCGCATGAAGAAGGGGTCGGGTACGCCTCGGGTACGTTCTAACCCTCCTGCGGTCGCACACCTCCTTCTTCTTATTCTTCCGCTCCTCCTCCTCCTTCTTCTTATTATTATTATTCTTCTTCTTCTTCTTCTCGTGCCTCTTACTGCGCTGCTTCCTGGCCACTTTCGTTGATCCCTGGGAGGCACGGCGGAGTAGGGGAGTAAGCGAACTCAGACTAGACCTCGCAGCTCCCTCGGGGGCTGCGAACTGCGAACTTGTTGCCACTTTCGTGGGCTCCTGGGAGGCACGGCGGGGTCGGGGAGTAACTGGACCCAGACTAGACCTCGCAGCTCCCTGGGAGGGGGACTTCGAACTGGCAGCTGCCGCTCCTTTCGTGGGCTCCTGGGGGACACGGCGAAGGAGGGAAGCAAACGGACCCAGACAAGATCTCGCTGCTCCCTGTGGGAGTGCGAACTGTGCAACTGTCGCCACTGTCGTAGGCTCGTGGGAAGGACGGCAGAGTAGCAACGTAAACGGACACATAATAGACCTTGCAGCTCCCTGGGTGGCTGCGAATTGTGCAACTGTCGCCACTTTCGTGGGCTCCTGGGAGGCACGGCGGAGTCGGGGAGTAAACTGACCCAGACGAGACCTCGCAGCTTCTAGGGTAGCTGCGAACTGCGCAAACGTCGCCACTTTCGTTGGCTCTTGGGATGCACGGCAGAGTAGGGGAATTAACGGACCCAGGCAAGACCTCGAAGCTCCCCTGGGGGGCTGCGAATTGTGCAAGTGTCGCCACTTTCGTGGGCTCCTGGGGGACAAGGCGGAGTGTGGGAAAACGGACCGAGACTAAACCTTGCAGATCCCAGGGTGGCTGCGAATTATGCAACTATCCCACTTTCGTTGGCTCAAGGGAGGCACGGCGGAGGAGGGTAGTAAAGGGACCTAGACTGAACCTCGCAGCTCCCTGGGTGGCTGCGAATTGTGCAACTGTCCCATTTTCGTGGGCTCCTGGGAGGCACGGCGGAATGGGAGAGTGCCCGAGACCTCGCAGCTCCCTGGGGGGCTACGAACTTTGCAACTGTCGCCACTTTCGTTGGCCCCTGGGAGGCACGGCGGAGTAGGGAAGTCACTGGGCCCAGATCAGACCTCGCAGCTCCATGGGGGGACTGCGAACTGGCAACTGTCGCTACCTTTGTGGGCTCCTGGGGGGCACGGCGAATGAGGGGAGTCAACGGACCCAGGCAAGACCTCGCAGCTCCCTGGGGGCTGCGAACTGCGCAACTTTTGCCAATTTCGTGGGCTCCTGAGAGGGACAGCGGAGTAGCGGAGGATGCGCATCCAGCCGAGACCTCGCGGCTCCCTGGGGGGCTGCGAACTGTGCAACTGTTGCCACTTTCATGGGTGCGCCTGGAACGTTCAGCCGAGTCGGGGTCACGCGGATCCATTTTTGTTTTTTATCGCCAGCTCCGTGCTCAAGCTCGATGCTATCCACTGCGTTCCACTCGCCGCGCCTGCAACACTCAGAAACACAACCCGTACATAGAAACATATATCCGCTTCCAGCACTATGCTGGCCCCCTCGGCCCCGCTTGAGGGGTCGAAAACATGAGGACTTTGATTCTGCCGGAAAGAGCCGGGGAGGCAAAACGGCATGTTTGTTTTCCTGGGTTGTCCACGCAGAATGGCCCTCCAGGCCGCTCCGACGGGGCCCCGCTAAGTTCGAAACCCGATGGCTCCTGCGGTCAATCCCCAAATCAGGCATGTATGTGTTCATGCGGATGGGAAGGAGGAGGATGAGGAGGAAGGGGAGAGAGAGGAGAGGGGAGGGCTGATACGAAAACGCCCAGATTCGTATCATCTAGTTCCGTGCGTTGCACGGCGAAGAAATAAATCGCACCCAACCTGCTGATGACCGAAATGAAAATAACAGC